TGCATTTATTTATGCTTAAAAAACATATTTCTTTCAGTCAGAAAATTTTTAAAAAAGCTTTTCTATCACACAAAAAGAAATATACGAGTACTCAAAATATTTGCTGTTAAATTTTATATATATTGCTATTTTGTCCATTGTCCATAGCATCTGCAGAAAGTAAAACTCATTTTTCTTCCAAATATTTTATGAAGATTACAAAATTAATTTTACTGAAATTAACTCCTGGTCTATGTTAAGTTGAGATATTCACAAATTACTCAAAGTGCTCATAAAAGATTATAAGGTATTTCTCCCGCCTTCTTAGCATGCCTCCGTGGTGTAATGGTCAGCACGCTCGCCGTGTGTTCGAGAGGTTCGAGTCCCGACGAGGGCATTGCATATTTTTCATGTCTCTTGCTTCGAAATAACCTAATGTCTCTACAAGGTAAAGTCTATATTTCTTTAAATAATGATACTATACATATATTTACTGTTTCAAAATTTGACAAAATAAAATATAAAATACTTTCAGGGTTATAAATGCATGAAATCTGATCGTTTATTTGGGTCCCAGCAGCAAGTAATAGAGTTAATAAATCAATAGTGTCCTTTAAAAGTTAAATATAAAATATTCCATAGTTTTATACCCGAAATTAACTAAGATATTCGGTAACGCGTTAACTGACTTGAGCCACTTTTTAATGACATAAGGAATTAAAAGAATTAAAGCTTGTAGCGACAGTTTACATGTGACCTATATAGATGGCTTAATTCAGATTTCTTATCTAACGACGCGCTAGAAATTAATTAATGCATCACTATTTGATACGTTTGCTTTCATAGTATCTGTTTTCATCTAGCTTATTTTTTCCTGTTTTTAAAGCAGATGAAAATAGAATTGCCTTCCATTATCTGCAGTTTATTTTAAGTTGGCAAAAAATAACACTCAAGGCAATGGAGTAGAATGACTAAACGCTTGGAACGGTATTCCGTAAGCATATTAACAAATGGGATACCTGTAATTTTGTCAATATTAGATAACACTGATGTTGATAGAATTCGATTGTTACCTTCTGCATGAATAAATAGAAATAGATTTCGCTACACTTTCTCGCGTAAATTTGTGTAATTACGTTTCTCTCATAAAAAAGCAGTTCGATTTGCCATTTTTGCTACTTTTCATGACTGCATTTTAATGCCAGGAAACACTGAATAAGAAATGTCCACATTGTGAATGGAGCTTTTTCTATAATTGAATTTCCTTTGTTGTCCACATCTGTATGACACTTGAAAATAAATATAAGACACATACTTTTCAAATATTGGTTTTGCGTATTTTCTGACAAAATGAGGCTGATTTATCCCACTTTTATCCCTCCTTTCTTCGTAAACATAGTTTTTAGTTGTAGTTATGTCATTAATATCTTATATTGCAATGTAGTGAAATAATGAGGTTCAGTCGGATGCTTAATCATAAGAGAAAATTCTTTGGATTCGCTTTCTTGCGGGAAAAAATAAAGTAGTTTTATTTTTTGATTTCTGAATATTAAAGAGTTTACATTTTGTGAGATACAATATAAGTCGTATTTTCTGGTATTATTATCTGGATAGTTTTTCGGACATACTTCAGGGATAGTACTGGCCTGTGTCTGGATAGGACATATTGCTTAGCTATGTGCAGTATTTCGGTTTGATAAATTAGGTGGCTTTTGCATTAAATCTATGCAGATATACTTAGATTTAGACGTGATTCCCGAATCAAATAACATTCTACAGACAACATTACCTGAATAGGAGCATATTTCATGGATGCTGCTGCAGACCACCAGGAGATCGCATGATATGAGGGACACTTTTATTCTACAATCCTTTATACATCTTATACAATGGAGAATGGAGACGGACTCCCAGTTCTAATATAAGTATGATGGAGGATTCTTCAGACAAATAATGCGTCCCTGTGACATATTTAGGAACATTTTGACAAAAAGTTGGATGATGCTTATTTATTATTATATTGGCTATTTCTTTATTTTTGCGTATACATACTTTCTTTCAACTCTTTTATTATTTTTATCGTAAGAAATCTTACATTTTTAAATGCAGCGAAGTGTCATGATTTTTTTTTTTTTTTTTTTAAATGAGTAAGCGAATTTACTAGATACTTACATCACCTGAAAGAGTCTTCTTAAACTAGTAGTAGACAGCTGAAAATGACTTGAAAGGTCTTTGTGGAGCTGAACATGTTTTGTTCATCAAATGTTCAAGATACAAAAAATATTTATATAGAAATGCATTACATTATTATTGCATAGCATGATTTAAAATAAAGTGAACTAAATGCTTGAGCCTATACAGATATTTACGTGCAGAATAATGAGCAGGAACATATATATTTTAACATAACGCTAACTGAAGCGGGCTAACATCAAAATTCAAGTGGGCAAAAATTTAAAAACCAGAATTTGTGTCAAATTTTTTATCTGGATCATTAATAGATTTCATGTCTAATTAAAAAAGCATATCATAAGAAATACTTCTTAAACTCAAATATCAAGTTATTTTTTGACAAGTATAACGGTTAATTGTCTGTAAATATCATGAAATAGATGTCAACATGGATTAGCGAAGCTGTCAACTTTAAAAGAATTCAATTCAACTATTAGATCAATTCATCATGTTCGATTCATACATAGTTATTCAGGGGGAAAATCCCTATGTGCCTCTTTTCGCGGAAGTAGCTTACTCGCTCTTTTGTTGCAATTGTTTCATTACCATAAGCCTTCAGTGGGCTACACAAATCCATCACGGTTACGGTCAGTGCCCTTAAAAACGACTTTCCTTTCTTACCCTAATTTTCTTCATGTTTGCCTCCAGGTCTGAAGATGAAATTCGTTGCATGGGTTTCTCTGACCACAATAAAAAGTAAAAACAAGGTTAACGAAAAGTAATTCAGGAGAAGAAATAGGTCGCCAACTCTACCCCCTGCAGGCGAGAACATTCGATGTAGAAATAGAATGCTTCCCTTTATCGATCAAAATAAATAGATCTCTATCTCCTTTTGTCATTTCGACAACATAGTGGTTAATTTATTTTCACTCATTCTCCAAATTGTATAATTTAGGATTCTAACAGCAGACGTTGAATCTTGTCACAGCTTTGTTTTAATGGGTATTCTGCACTACAAGCGGTTAAATGTTAATGCTGTTTTCTTTTTGACGCATACAAAGATTGCGTTACTCCAATTTGTATGCTAGGGTTTTCTTACCCCCCCCCCACGTTTACTTATTTTTAGCTCCTGAGCTACTGCTCTAATACTTTTTTTAAATAAAAATGAAACAAAATCTTTTAAAATCACAACGATTTAAATTAATCATAATGCATTACATGTCATTGAACGTCATTCTCATTTTTCTTCCTATGAAAGGTTATTTTACTAATAAATAAAATGTTAATACTTGATCAAAAAATGTATGAAAGTTTCTTCCTGTGTTCGGAAAAAAAGGACGCAGTTGCATTTAATATAAGACGGGGAAAGCAATTAGATTAAGCCTCTTTTTTTAACTCAAAGAAGTTAATGGTCCTTCTTAGCTAAGAAATAAGATATTATTCAATGAAAAAAATAGTTATTACTTGTTTGATTTTTCAATTGAATTACGATTTGCTAATTTCAAAAACTATTTCCATATTCGTCTTTGTTTTGTGCTTTAAGAGTAGCTGCCAAAATACAAGGTTAATTAAAAATGAAAGTATTGTACGTAAATATTCGTTTGAATATTTTGTATTGCAACTTTTGTTTTATTCCATCGCGAACACTCAGAAAACCGAGAACTTCTAAACTTTCTCGTCTAAGCCTATTTCCTTATATTCATCAAATTAAATTTTCATTATAATTTTTTAGTGTTAGCTTCTCTCTTGACATTTTAATGACCAACTTCAAAAGCATAAATAAATGGTAACAGTACAATGTATGAAAATCGGGGTAACACTACAATGTACTCGTATGAACGCAAAAAAAGTTTCACTTCTTCTCACATTCGAAAAATGGAAAATTATTTTTCCAGAAATTTCTTCTCATGATTAAGAAAGATTAGTTCAAAATAAGTCAGAATATCTCAGTTTCCGTATTTTTTTAGAAGTAAATTCTTTGAATATTGTAAATAAACTAAAACATATAAGCTATGCAAAACTTTTTTTTTTTTTTTTAATTTGTAAATTTTCAACTTTGAAAATTTTCAACTTTGAATTAATTTAGTCCTAGATTTGGCTAGTCCAGCCAAAAAAATGTATACAATTTAGTAAGCCGTACAAGAAAGTTATGTGGTGTCCCAATCAGATATTTTCTTATTGGAAAAGTTTGTTTGGTTTACGTCTAAGAATCTGGAACAGATTAATGACATATACTGATGTATCACTGTATTTTTTAGCTTTCCAATTTATATAAATGTCTGTATATGCATTTATGTATAAATATGTGCATATGAGCGGCATGTACAATAATATAAAATTGCAAATGTTATGTTACTGACATCCTGATGGAGCCAAAACTAAGGACTAAAATTCATATTTCATTAAACTTATTATGCTGCTTATTTTCGTTCATAAATAAAATAATTTAAAAATGAAAGGAAACATACAGTACTAAAATTATTAAGTTGATTGTTAAGATCACAGTCAGATCATAGAACCTGACTCTTGTTGATGAACTCTTGACAAACCTAATCTTCAACCTTCGACACGAGCTCGACAATTATTGCGCGTACAAAAAAGTTATTAACCCTGCAAAGTAAACTTGGAGTATATTTTCCCCTCCGCAATGTTATGGAGCCACTCATGCTTTTGCGAAACTTTCGTTAACATACATGTTCTTTGCACTTAAGCTCCGTATATTAATACAATGCTTAAAGAACATATATGTTACCTTAAGGAAAATTTCATAGATTAATGTTGTTGATTTATATACGCTCGTTGTTTATGTGCATATATTTTTAGAAATGTAATTTTACAATTGTTTACAGGAAACCCTTCGACGTGAAAGATGAAAGCATCCCAAGCTCTAGTATCATATCTGTTGACATTTTTCATGCTGGTGGCTAATATTGAACAGATTGTTTGTGGAGAGTATCATTCGGAATATCCACATTATGAGGGAAAGTAAGTTTAACTTAGCCATTCATTTGTTTTCATTATTTCCAAAGTTGTTTCATATTTTAGGAATTACATTTAAAAGCAAATAGAATCTTTTTTTATACTTTAACGATATTTATCACTTCCCAGTGATCAATAAAAAATTGTCTCTAAAATTTGTTGCAATCAGTGTAGCTGTTGGACAGAAAACAAGTCAACGAAATTTTGTTAAATACATTCAAATAAATAAACTATAGTTTTTATCGAGATGTGCATTTTACTATAATACGAAAAGATTAAAGCCATCAAAAATGCAAACCTTATATTCGAAGAGGAGGAAACAGCAAATCTTCGATAGCTAATCACATAGCTGGCTATTTACAAATTATTCTGACGTTAGTTCTGAAAAACTTATTCAGCTCCATGTTTTTATTATATAATGAAAAATTCTAACAATTTTCCATTTTGGATTGTTTCTTATTGACCGCTATGGGCTTAGTTATCAAGAAAAATGCTTACAAAACGGAAAAATTGTAAGTAATTCATCACATCGAATAAATATTCTATTGAAAGTTTTATTCAAAATAACGTGCTCGAGTTTCCAATTCGATACTGCTTTTGTGAAACATTAGCTAATAGGAATCTTAAAATGACGGATAATGTCAAAATTCAAGCTTATGCAGTTGGCTTTTTAAACTTTGCTTCGGCCAATAGTTATTAAACTACAGAGGAAAAATGGATGAATGTGTAGAAGATTTAGACAACTTGTCGCAAAATATAAAACTTGACGTTGAACTAAAAAAATGATGATTCCAAAGAAAGGCGAGAGGGAACGTTCTCAAGGATGTATGATAAAAAATAAAGTGACAAAACAAAATGTAAAATTTAATATGTAAAATTTAATATTTGATTGTTGTCTTGGATAAAAAATTTACGTTTGTTTCACATTTAGATCATGTGAAACAAAGCTGTCGTTTAATCTTATATCGCTTCTATAAAATGAAAGGAATCAAAGATAAAATTTTAAAGTTAATTCATAAAAGAGGCATTGAGGAATAAATTGAATATGAGTGAGGAGCATGATGGAAAGACGTGCAGATTTTGAGTACGCAGTTACTGCAAATCCAAAAAATAGCTTTTTCTAAATTCAAATTCCTTTTGGATCATTTCTAAACTTCTTAGATGGCAGACTGCTTTTTTTATCTCAGTTGGCAACGTTCAAAGCAAATGGCAGGCAACATTCCGTTTATCATTATAACAGAAAAAGTGTATTTGTTATTTCAATTTTAAAAGCAAAATAAACTACTGTATTTAATTTTGGGAAAAAATTCCCCTTTGCAGCTACAAAACAACACTCAAATGCAGATGTCTAAAAACAATCCTGTCTGAGATGCTTCCCTTTACTTGGGATAAAATACTATCACTAATAAGAGTCCCATAATCTACCAAATTGGTTTATAAATAGAAAATACGTAGGTGCGGCTTTCTCTACCCATGCAAACAGCCGTATTAATGTAACTAGACTTTTACACTGTCAGGTAATTCTACAGTGTTTCGAATTGAGTTTAGCATTCAGAGAATATTTGAAGTGGTTGTTATTTAGTTAAGGTGACACGAAATCTGATACGTATTCGGATAGTCAAGGCCTTTTTAAAAACCTATTTTAAGTTCAGAAGAAGTATATCAGCCGAAAAATAAATAACCTGATCGTTAGAAAGGAAGCTCTATTTCCATTGGGCCGGGTGTCTTAGGGTAGAAAAGCTGATATGTTAATAAGAAAGCTTAAAGATATCGCAATATTGGCTGACTCTCAATTAGAACAATGAAATCGAATCGCAGAATAAAAGCGACGATTATTCTCATAAAGAAATATTCACACATAACCAAAAGCTTTTACCAGAAGATGTATTTTTAATAGATAATTTAAATGAATATTTCATCACTCATTTCCATTTTCCAGTGTATTTTAAGGGGTTTAATATAGCGCTTTGTGCGTAACTATGTGGCGGGTCAAATGGTTATATTTCACAGTATCATGCATGTCCATATGACAGCACGGATTGTGATGTTTTCTCAAATTATTCCTAAGTACAGTATGTTTCAAAACGTTTGGAGAATATATCTTCCTGCGCTAGTATCAGCTAATGATCTCAAGAAAATTTTAAATGTAGACTACAGAAGAGGGTTTGCTAGTATAATTAGATATCTGCAATTAACGAATGTAACGTATACATAATGAGTATATTTTTTTTGTTTCTCCATATTCCTCTTTTATGCAATAGCCATTTATTTTGTCATACCTTTCGATATAAGACTTTTAATATTCAATAAGTTAGATTCCATGGAATGGCACCACAAGAAATCTTAAATCTTCTAATCAGTTTAGGTAGACGCCCTTAGCTTTAATTAGAAGAAATCTTATTAATTCTTGGCAAATACTAAATGGTGAAATGATTGCATACATTTATATATTTGCATGGATTTTCTGAATGAAGCAAAAGTTGGGTTGGGTCAACTGCTAGAAATGCAGACAGCACTAGAATTATTTTGACATTTTTCATTTTTCTTGATTTTTCTAACTTTTAAATTGCTTGAATAAGCCTGACTTTCCTTCAGTTACGAAATTGTGTGAAGGTTTATCAAATGATAGCGAAACAAGAATTTACTTCTGATTATTCATTGTTTACATGCTTACCAGCAGCATAACAACAGCAGCAGCAAGATACTAGCAATTTAAAGCAGCAGCTTAAGCTGGTAGTTTAACTAAAAAGGTGTTAAAAATTATTATACAGTGGTACCTCTGGATACAAGTTTACCTAAATACAAATATTTCGAAGTACGAAACGGCATCTGAACAAATTTTTGTATCTGGATACGAGCAAAATTTGGCACACGAGCTCAAACGAGAGATTCACTTCGCCACCATTACTTGGCGTTGTAAACAAAGCGATGAGCACGTTCTCTCGAGCGATTCCCGTGGTTTCCCTTATCCAGACGCGTCTTTGTTATATTTTGTGCTCGCATTCACTTGTGTCTGTGCAGTTATTTCGCTGTTATCATTAATATATATTTGTAGTTAATACACATATCTATATATATATATTTATATTTAATTATAATTAAGGTATATTTATGACAACGGGTCGTAAGAAAGTGAGTAATGGAACGAAACAAATGATATCCCTAAAATAACGTTAGAAAATTATTGATAAACATGAGCAAGGTGTGCGTAGTGACGCAGCTGTACTTCTAACACAACTAAGTGTGCTGGGGATTTCCCAAGGCTCTTCAAACGATGAGACTGAAAGGGCGTTCGAGGTACGCCGTAACGGGTTTGAAAAGTTTAAAATTCGAAATAGAATTCACTCCGTCGTCAGTCATGGTAAAACAGGAAGTTAAAGGCAACGGAGCAGTTCTTCGAAACTTTTGCGGTATTAAAAGCAGATGGGTACATCCACCAGCAAATCTTCAACTGTGACGGGACAGGGCTGTTCTGGAAGAAGATAGCAAGGATGACTTATATAACGGTAGAGGACACAAAGATACCAGTATAGATACCAGATGACAGAAATGTTGAAGCTTAAATTGTATGAAAATCCGAGAGGCAACTTAGCAATAGAGCCGCTGTTCGTATACCATTCAGAAAACTCCAAAGCGTTTAAGGCCGATAAAATTATAAAAGAAAAACTCCAGGTTAAGTGAAAGGTAAATCTGAAGGCGTATATGCCTCCAAGTATTTCCTTGCAGAATGAATCAGCCTAGACTTGAGTGATTTTGTTAAAAAGTACCCGGAACAAAATAACCCACAAGCAGGTTTCGAACTTGACAATGCTTCTGAATACTTACTGAATACCGAAGATGATATCCTTGACGAGTTTAAGTTCATATAATTTCTGTATCTCCCACTCAAGCCCATCTCTATCCCACAGCCAACAGACCAGTAAGTGATTTGAAATTTTAAACCATTCTTTACCAAATACCTACTTTAATGCTTTTTGACGCCACAAACAGCCCCAACCTCACAATTCGCAAGTTCAAAAAGGATCATCATAATAAGCCTAGGAATTAGCGATATGACATGGCTGTTTCTTTTCAGGAGAACCTTGAACTCTGCGTGGAAGGAGCTCTAGCCTAAGGCTGTAGCCGAAAGGAATTTTGAAGGATTTTATTCCTAAATGAGTAAATGAAGGCTGAAGGAGATTGTGTCCCTTAGAAAGGCTATAGGTCTAGATGTGGGCGAGAGAGATGTAAACCAATTTCTCGGAGGATATTACAAACGAGGTCTTAAATAAAATACAGCCAAGAAGCATAAAAACACTTTAGGGGAAATTAATAACGATGAGGAGGTAGGGATAGAGAAGTCTATCTCGTCAACTAAAATTAAAGGCATTCTAGAATTGTGGGAGGCAATTCCCGAATTCATTGAAAAATTCACAGAAACAATTGCGACATTTCGCTCAACAGCGTTGTTCGGTGACAACTGTTTAACACATTTCAGAAATATTCTTAAAAGAAATATGAAACAAACGTCCTTGGGCAAATCTGTATTGAAATGCTCTTCAGAAGCATATAAGCGCGGAAACAGTGCAGAAAAAGTAGCAAAAACCAGTAAATTATGAAAGTACAATCTACGTAAGTATGTGGGATTTAGTCCCTTTGGCTATTATGCAGTGTAACTAGATTGTTGTAAAACATTTTATAGCCTCCAAATTTCACAACAAATTAATAAAAATATAGTATAATCAAAACGATCATCACCTATTAATTGTAATCACAAAATTGTAGACGGAAATATATGAAAAATAGATAAACATTCGTTAGATTCCAAATATGTATATTTAGAAAAAAGGAGTGTCATATCACTGTCCTTTCCTGAAAGGAGTGAGAAAAGTAAGTGTAAAGAATAAGAGAGTTACACAACTCTTTTGCAGGGTTTCAGTTCATACAGTTTTTATCGCGCTATTGGCGACAGTCCATCATATAATAGATCATAGATCCTTGAGATTCCTTGAGACCTCACAAGCAGGGGTAGGGCGTAAAAGACCTTTTTAACACAATATTTTACAGACGGCACAGATTATGCTTGCAAAATGGGTGCGCATAAAAGGTGACAGGAAAACGGTAGCGCAAAAGATAAACCACATGAAAAAAAGATAAAGGAGTTCCTTAAAAGAGTGAAACTTAAAACAGTTAAAGTAATCTAGCAGGCTTTACTAAAAATTAACAATAAAAGAGGTAACACTTGAAATTCAGTTAACCGGAAATAATTAAGATACCTCAGGCAAGAATTGCGAGATAATACGAGATAAAGAAAAATAGGAAACAATAAAATAACGTGCGCTTACAATAGCGAAACCACGCTCTAACGAAACTTTTTGCTACATCAGTTAAACATTCTGTTAACCTAGCTAATTTACATCCTGGCGAAGAAACACGAGGGAAATAAGAGTAGACAGAAAAGGCTATCGAATTAAAATAATTACTAATAAAAATAAATGAAATCTTACATATAGAATACAGTAATTAAATGTTATAAAACCCGTTTATTTTTATACATTCTCTTTTATATACTTGTATTACTATGTTTATAAAGGTTTTTATTAGTCTTCTATGCAATATATTGCAATTATTTTTTATTTAAAAACACATGACAAAAAAAATGAGTCTTATTTGGGGGCCTGAAATGGATTAATGATATTTAAATATAGTTCAGGACACGAGTAAATACATTTCCAAATGCGATTTTCAGCGTACAAATGTTTCATAATACGAGTTAATAGGCTTGCAACTCCGTCACGGAATGAATTAAACTCATATGCTGAGGCACAACTGTGCAGAATATTGTCTTGTTTTTCTGCACAAACATGTTACAGAGAAAAAGATGCGAAGAGAAAACATTGTCAAACAAAACACTGTGACAGTGAAACAAAGCTGGGAGAAAACATAGCATTTCTAAAACATCGTGGGATAAAACATAATGGTAAAAGTGACCAAACTTTGCAGTTTTAAAACTTTGACGTACTGAAATCGCCATAAATGAATAGATCGTTTTACAAAACATTGTATAACCATAACACTGGCAGGCATTTGTTTTCAATAAGCAATAATTTATGAGCGCGAGAAGAAATGAAGAATGTTTTTACCCATACACTTTCCGAATTTTTGAATTAAAAGCTTTAGTAATTTTAAAGTAAAAATTCTGTCTTCTTTATTTTCGATCACGGTATTTTATTCTGCGCTTCTTCTTGTTTCCTCTTCTCACCCCAAAGTTTTATGTGACAATATTTTTCTCTCGCGTTGTTTTCTCGTCAACGGTTTCGCTAACGATGGCTTTGAAGAATATTCTTCAAGGAAATCTAACTCACCACCGTATATTATCAAGCAATATATATTATCAAGCAATAATGGTTAATTAATATGCGATATTATGTGGCATAAGTACAATCGCATAAGTAAACCCATCTGTAAATTTTTTATAATCAGGTAAACTTGGAAAATATATGAAAAACATGATATCTGAATTTCGAAAAGTTTTTTCAGTGTCACCTCAAACGTATAACCTGTAGGAGTAACTAAGCACTTTTGCAACTTGCTTCTGCCATATATGCAGGGACAGGGAAAAGTGGACGGATCACCAGAACTTCGTCAGTAACTTTTACAGGTATTGCTCTGCCGCCCTACTGCACCCGCTGGGCTTTCGGTTGGCCCTGCATATATGGCATTTATATGAAGTACAATGTACAATGTCCGATGTACAATGAAAGTTTGTATGATGTATGTTAAGTAATTATGTTATATTAATTTGCCATAATCCAACTTTTGTTAATAGGTTAGTTTCTTTGTAATAATTGTATACTGTGTTTTTGTAATTGTATATTCAATACGTAAGTCTAGTGTTAATGTAAAGTTTCTATGTAAATACCTTGTTAGGCTGGCATCCGATGCGGGCCAACCGAAAGCCCAGCGGGTGCAGTAGGGCGGCAGAGCAATACCTGTAAAAGTTACTGACGAAGTTCTGGTGATCCGTCCACTTTTCCCTGTCCCTGCATATATGGCAGAAGCAAGTTGCAAAAGTGCTTAGTTACTCCTACAGGTTATACGTTTGAGGTGACACTGAAAAAACTTTTCGAAATTCAGATATCATGTTTTTCATATATTTTCCAAGTTTACCTGATTATAAAAAATTTACAGATGGGTTTACTTATGCGATTGTACTTATGCCACATAATATCGCATATTAATTAACCATTAAGTTACTCTTTTAAAGCTTTCATAATAATTTATATGTGTGCTTGAATTTAAATTCTAATCTTATTTATAACTCGATATGTTATTCATTTCTCTTTCAGACAATATGAATATCATCATCATGAGTACCATCCACCACCGAAGAAGAGCGCTAATGTTGACATCAACATCCCTCTCGACCTCGGTACCATCGCTAAACTAGGAGTAATAGGATTGACGCAGCTTAAACTTTTACTAGCTTTGGGAAAAGTGGCTGGAGCTGGACTTGGTGTTGGTGCTTTGGGCTTGGGAACACTTGGGAAGATAGCTTTGAGTGTCAGTCCAGTTCATAAAGGATCAGGTATTGCTATAGATCTTACGCCCCATCATCATGAAGCAAAGTCGTCACACTCCCATCACGAGTATGTGCACATTCCTTCAGAAAAGCATTATTAACGGAAGAATTAAACTTAGTTGATTAAATTTCAGTTCAGGTTGTACTTCTGAAGACAGCTAAAGTGGATGCTGGAACTTAAAATTTCACTTGTTTTTTCTTTTTGTTTTCATTATTTTTATTTTATTTTTGACAATTTAATTTTAATTTATCTGATACGAGAAGACAACATTATGTAAAAACTCAGTAAGTCTGAAATAGGAATTTAAGAAAAAATATATATGAAATATCACTTGCTTGAAATATCATTCGATTGTTAAAATAATGATGCGATTTTCAATCCTGAGGTATTTTCGATATCTAAGCATTAATTTATATGATAAATCGAAATATATGCAGTAAAAATGGTTTACTTTAAAAAGCATATCTTTTGGTCCAAATGAAAAAGCAGATTTCGCTGAGGTTAATACTTCTGATTTGAAATAATATAATTCTATTTACTATTTCATAATTTACTTTTAATATTCGTATTTTTTCATTCTTTTAAATGAGTTTTACTTACACTTTGGAAAAAATAGATTTTTTCTCTCTTTATTTTTAATACTAAATCGTTTTACATACACAAACATTTTCAAAGAAAGCTAAAAGAAAATTACTTGTTATGCTCTTTCCTGAAACTAAAACTTTCTTGAGAAGCTTTTGTTCAAATCAAAGCTTTAAAACAAGTAAATCTATTCAGCCGGGCATTAAAGTTCATTTTCCTTTCGCCTGTGTTCGTTAAAGGGTATGAGCTTTATTTCTTTAAATTCGGTTATGTTGTGGTGATTGGTATAAAATTTTGGAGTTTATAATAGCATCGTCTTTATTTAACACTATATTTTCTTAAAATTAAGAGCTTTTCGTAATATCAAGGCTTCAGAAGCTTTAAATGAATTCAAGATTAAGGAAAAAAGACGGGAAGTTTCAGGTAGAAAAATCAATGGCCAAGTAATGCAAAAATAAAATTATTTGAAACTAAAAATTTTAACTAATATCTTAAAATTAAATTTAATTTTCATTATTAAAAAACCTTTTCCTCCTTTTTAATACTTAAAATGGTAGCAATTTAATCCTCTGATTTTATTTCAAGACAAGTAATTCACTTCTTTTCATTTCTGAATTAATTAAATACGATGAAAATGAAGATATAAAGGTTAGTTAGCTAAATAATTATATATAAATAACTCGCATTTTTTTCAAAGCTTTTGGAAAATAGAGTTTTCTTCTGTAAATATTTAAAGTTTTCTTCATTTATATTATTAAATATTTCATTAGTTTTTCCAGAAAATGTCTACGATGACGTACAATTTTAACACCTAAACGTTTGTTCTCATATCATAGCATTTATAGTTATTTATTTTTATACATAAAATAATAATACCTCAATTGACAACACACCAATGAATAGCCTTGCTTTCTTATTTGATTGGAGAAAAATCATTCATTTTTATTTTCAACCCAAAAGTAAAGTATTGAAGAATTTTAAATAAGTGTTAAACAGTTGCATAGCAAATCTCTCAATTTCATAAATTTTGTGATTAGTGTAATTTTTTTTCAGTATTGATAAAGCCAGCAGTAAAATTTTAATTAATTAATTAATTAACTTAAAATTTATAAATTAAAAAAACAGATAACACTATTGTGAAAAAAAAATGCTATAAATTGAAATAAATGTACCCTTAAATTTATAATAATAAAGTAAAATGCAAATTGCTGAGATTTTTAAAAAATTGAAAACGTTTTTGTAAATTATTAGGTAAATTTTTTTAAATAAATTTTAGCAAAATTATTAAAAGAACAAGAGAATAAAATCTATTTATACCCAATCTAGTATATGTACATATATAATTCAATAATTCACAATTTTACCCATGTTTTCTTTAATAACAGAGTTGTTTGTAGATTGTTATTATAAAAATTTGGAGAATTTATATCTTTAGTTCTATTTTCTTGCTAAGAATAAGAGCAACAGTGTATGGTAGTTTTAAAGCTGCATATGATACAAAGGGAAAAACTTGAATAATATCAATACTTAGGTCTCGCTATGTGATCAGTAAATTTATGTAGAAATATAAGGTATGGTCTTTATTAATGATGTGTTTTAATCCTTCGAGCACTCTGCTACGTTAAGAAGAGATGAAAAGTGATAATAGTGTAAAACAAAATTAATAGACAGAAATAAAAGCAATAGATTCATGAAACAGGTTTTGATTTATTCTCCATGCTATAAATACGTTAAAAACTGATGTGATAGGATTGTAATAAGTCGTTTCATGTTAAATTTATTGTTTTTATGAATGTCTTACTTCATACCCAGATAAATTTGTGAAATTTAATAATTTTTTTAATTTAGAAAACTTTTGGATTTATTAGCAAAAAGCGACTTTTGTATATTATCTGTAAAAAGTGTAAATATTCCTTTGAACTCAAACTGAAATATGTATACAATGTGTATTTATAGAACGAATAAAGCTATTTTTGTAAAAAAAAAAAAAAAAAAAAATATTCATTTTTATTCTTTATTTATTTTAGAGAAATTTTATTATAATGAGACTAAGAACTCTGTAGAATATCTCTAAACACATAAAATAGGTTTCCATACTCTATTCGTCTCCACATAAATGAAAAGGATCACAGGAAGATGAAATTTCATTGCAGAATATTGATTCATTCAACTGAAACAGTTAAAAGAAACATGCGCTCAAGAAACTTAGAAAATTCATTGCATCACTTTGACCTTTCTTCCACTATGTGATAATAGCTAAACTCTAATAATTATCTCTCTAGTGGCCGAAAAGTTTAGTTTTTAGGGTTTTTTTTAATTAACACAATGTTTCTTATATTAAATCTTTTCTTCATATCTGCTGTTTCGTGTGCTTCACCAGGAGATATGCATGAAATGAATTCAAATAATGGAAAAGAGTCTAAGTTTAGAAAAGAGCTTTGGCAACATTGGCTTGAAACTCGGTGACCTTGTTTTCTACTGACTGCTGTGGTTCTTCAGATTATTCAATCAGTGAATAAAAATGAGTAAAATTTGTGCTTTTACAGGTTTGGTTCTCATTAATACGACCACTTCTTACGTTTGACATCTGTATTAAATTAACAATATTTTAAGGCATGTTTCAGAAGTATATTTGGTGAGTATATAAAGTATGTTGTAGGCACTCGGAAAACTTTTCAATTTACTGTTGTCATAAATAAACTGAAGGATGCATGTCAAGGACAGTAGCATTTCAGAAATTGTACAGTCTATGAACTGTGTTCGCGCTGCTAAAGTGAGAATGCGTTAAGAATAATATAATGGCATATTGTACAGAATAAGCGAGGCGGAATTTGCGGTTAGAGCCATAGTTATAGAACTTGCGGATAGAACCACGAGCCATAGATTAAAGGAGTGAACCGCAGCTCTGGGGGTGCTTTTAGCAAATCGATATGCTATAGTGCGGTAATTTACTGCCCAAATGAGCTGAGGGCTGCCATATTGGATCCAAAACAACAGTTCAGCGAACCTTGTTGCGTGTAGGCTTCGATAGAGCGTGTAGGCTTAGATGGTCATTGGGCAGAACCTGTGCTAAAGACAACACAGGAACAAGCTGAAATTTACTCTTCAGCAGCAATAGTAAATCTTCCCTGATTAAAAGAAGGTTATTGTTTTCTGTGATGACTGACATTTTCTGCTTAATCGGACTCTTTGACGTTGGCGCAAACGGCGAGAAACAAAAAAAAAAAAAAAAAAAAAAAAAAAAGCCTCTGAAACAACAAAATGTCTCTCAAGCTTTTCTCGACGAATAGAAGCTGGTGGAAGTAACATTATCTGAAAATTGTTTTCCTGACATTATGTGGATCACTCTTTATCATAGATGGTATAATGGATTCCACTAAGTTTGCATCGATCCTTGCAGACTCATACCAAGCAGATGTTTTACTCTAGGAATGATGGTATCTAACACTACTACAGTGCAATTTAATACGCAGCGAAGGAATATAAAAAAGTGGCTGGAAGCAGACGAGGAAGATTTTAGTGTTTTTTCACGGAACCCCCCCCCCAAACGTCCTCAGCTTTAAATCTTTAGGACTTAAAGAATCTTTAGGACAATTTCGACTCCTGAATTGTTTGCTCAATGCATTCCAATATACACTGTCATGCATTCAAAGGTATTCGCCATATGCTTTATATCCTGTTACATAATGGGGTTTCATTCACAGACTCGCAGAAGTTTGGTTTGAAGTTTGTTGGCCTCATTGACCATCTGTACCTGGAACAGTGGACAGAAACATAGTTTGTAAATCTGATCATTGGGCAGATTCTTATGGCAATGAATATTTCCTCAATAAGCTCCTCTTTCATCTCCTCCGAAAGAATGTTTGAAGGTATACATGACTTAAACTTCCTTCATAGGCTATGTTTGAAAGTATGTCACTTAAACTTCCTTCATAAGGTATACCACTTATTTCCTTCATAAGTTCAATGTCGTTATGAACAACGTAATTCCGAATATGATTTAATGGGAAGTAACGTGTAATTTTGTTGTGACAATCAATGAAGGGGAAAATTTTTAAGAAATTCACCTTGAATTCTTGCAGTAAAGACAGCGTTAGTGTGGTCTCTGATTTTTTTGACAAACTCACTAAACTTAAAAAAAATGAACCTAATGGGCTTCCTTTTAGGGTTCTTGGGTGCATCCATATCAGTGGTTTCATCATTTACCAGATTATTATTTTCAGCAACATTTCCAGAATCACTGCTATTATTTTCAATTATTATTCAATTTTTATGTGGATTATTTCCAATTTTTCCATCAAAAACAGAAATTCTTTTGCTAGCATTTACATCTGTATCATTCTTCATGATTTTAGGGGAGTGGACAATATTACATGGGGAGTAAAAGCCATTACCAGCGTGAAGTTTTTTACCCTTGGGTTAACCGCGCTGAATATAAGAGTTTTTTTACTCATAATCAGAAATGTACTTTTTCACAATACTGGAATTCAAAGCATTATTACCTAGACACTAAACTTCTCAGTATTAATTACAGTATCAGAATTATTACCAGTATGTAAAATATCGGCCTTAAGCATGCTAAGACATGGATCTACAACAAAGTTACTTTTGTCCTCAAGAAATCATAACTTGCATCCTGTCCTGAACTGAAGTGATCCGCAGTTCCATCATCGCACGATGCTGGTTGTTCTCTTATGCAATCTCCTTCAGAAATGTTTCACAAGCATTGCGAATTTCCTCAGTATAGTTCCGCAGATTAGTCAAATAATTCAATGTATAGTCTCCGCCGCTTATTATCTTCAGATTTCCAGGAACCAAAACAAGTACATATTAATCAATATGAAACCTCTGTATATTAAACTCATCTCCACATTTCGTTAAACTCAGAATGACAAAAGACTGACCCTTCACTGCCATAATATCGTACTTGTATCTAGCAAAGTTCTTCGTGGTTTATTCATTTAACATATTGCGAACCCTGGCTTGATTATTTAGGTATGCAGTATTTAAATGGGTTTTAACCGAAAAGTTTCTACCCTGGGTCTCTGTTTCTGTAAGACACTGTTTTCAGAGTTCTTTGTCCGCCCTAGATTTCAAAGAGGCAAAATTGTCTTATCTTATTAATTGTCTTATAAATTGTCTTAGGTTCACAAAAACAATCCTTTAGAGACACTGTACATGAATTATTATTTCCTCTCGAATACCAGATGAAAGGAAATGAAAAGTGCAACTTCTAGATCCCTTCTCTTTAAAGGTTTCCATATTCAGTCTTCTTTTGAAGAAGACATATTATTTTCATACAGGGTTATAATAAAAATTCATGAAATGCTTCTAAACATTACCATAGATTAAGAGTCTTTGAATAGAAAGGAAGTGGTAAATGTAGATTGAAGTAAAAAGAATGAATTGGTCATGCTAATCATGAAGCACTGGTCACGCTTGTAATCGTGAAGAGGCAGATCCATTAAACAGACGAATGGTTTTATTTCTACAGGCTAGAAAGGTAAACTTTGAAATTTAAATAAATCATTGGGAGAAGCATTTTTTAATCTGTTGATGCGCAAGCAACTAAAAACCACATTTAAACTGAAAATTTACCAAATAACGCTGTGCAGATTACTAAAATAAATTATAATTAATGAAGTACTAATAAAAATGCAAATGTCTCAAGTAAGAGCAAAAAAGACAGGAAATCGAAAGACGTTGGAATTATTTTTCTAGATTGTTTTCAAGCTGTAAAGGTAAAAAAAGATTCTTTTTCTAGACCTTTTCTTGTCACTAGTTCGTTAAATGGTAGGATAGAATTTTAAAACGACTGACATATGGCTCACAAGTTGCAGAAAGTGAAATCTGACATTGTTCATGAGAAATTGCATGGTGAGAAGGAAAAGGGTATCATCATGCAGCTAATAAGTAAATACAAGACTTTTTACTTGGAGTGCTAGATAAATACAAGCCGCTCGAAGTTTAGAAAATACATACCCCGAGGACGGTCCGAGTGTCTCTCTTCTTCTACCATTAACGACTAAAGAGGACTTTCGGCCCGCAGTGTATTCTGTGTGCTCCCTTGACAAACAGACGATAAGCGCTTATAAACGTCCCTGCCTTCTCTGGGATTCCAACTTGCATCCATACGAAC